ACAGGACTCTAAATGTCCTAGCTGAAGCACAACAGCCTGGACCAGTGTTGACTACAAATGGGAAGTTTGCTTAAAAAAGCAGAGATCTCAAAGAAAGAGCATGACCCAATCAATATCAGAGATGGGAGGAAGATCATCAGCACCACGGACAGCTTCAAGGTAGATTATAAGTTGCTCTCACCAGGACAAGTTCTTCTCACCAGGTGCGGAGGTAGGCTCAAGCCTTGTTCTCATGAACAGCAGTTAATGTGATCAGCCTTCACGGTGGTGCCCCATCTGAAGAACTCCCTGCTCCAAGATGTTGAATTGCTTTCTTCATATTTTGAATTCCATTGGCACATTTCTCTTTAAAACAAGCTTTTGATTCTGTTGTGGCACAGTTTATTTCATTGATGGTTTGTTCTGCCTCTGTTTTGTGCTTTGTTTTTAGTCTCGTAATTGTGTTTTAATGAAGGGTTTGTGTGTGTGTACAAGAACACCTTGATATATATACGAGCCATTTCATGTGAATTATTTTTGGTGTAAATTTCTGTAGCAATAAATAAATGTCTGCCCGGATTGTATCATTTCTCATTGCAAGCGGAGAGGCACATGCCTCCACGTTATATACTTGGAAAAATAGGATGCACCAGAGAAAAGGTCTAGTGACCACTTCAGTTAACAGATGCGGGGCTCATATGATGGAATACATAGGGGAAGGGTAATATTCCTAATAAAAAAAAAGATACAGTGGTACCTCGGGTTAAGAACTTAATTCATTCTGGAGGTCTGTTCTTAACCTGCAACTGTTCTTAACCTGAAGACCACTTTAGCTAATGGGGCCTCCTGCTGCCGCTGGGTTGCTGCTGCACAATTTTTGTTCTCATCCTGAAGCAAAGTTCTTAACCCGAGGTAATATTTCAGGATTAGCCGAGTCTATAACCTGAAGCGTATGTAACCTGAAGTACCATTGTATTGTATAGTTGGAAAAGGTTCAGAAAAGTGATACCAAAATGATCAAGGGAATGGTGTAATTCCCCTTTGAGGAAAGGTTGCAGTGTTTGGGGCTTTTTAGATTCCAGGAAAGACAAGTAAGAGGCATCATGAAAGAAGTTTATAAAATTACACATGGAAGGCGGATAGAGAAAAGTCTTTCTCCCTCTCCTAACAGTAGAACTCAGAAACATCTCATAAAGCTGAAGGTTGGAAAATTCAGGACAGACGAAATAAAGAATTTCTCCACACAACACAGAGTTAAACTATGGAACTCTCCACCACAGGAGGCAGTGAGGGTCAACAACTTGAATGGCTTTAAAAGGGGATTGGACATATTCATGGAGGAGGAGAGGGCTACTGATGCCTACTAGCCACAATGGCTATGCCCTGACTCCATAGTCAGAGGCAGTAATGCTTCTGGATAGCCGTTGCTGGAAATCACAGGAGGGGAGAGTATTATTCTGCTTGCATCTTGCTTGCGGGGGTTTCCCAAGTGCATCTGGATGAGGACTGTGATGCTGGATTAGATGGGCCTTTGGCCTGATCCAGTGGGCTCTGAGGGTCAGGAGAGCACTCGGGTCCCTTTGCAGACATGACCCCACTGCAATTCTTCCAATCGTGCCATCTGGGCTTGCGACTCACCAGCCAGTTGAGCTGGATGAGGAGGTGTCCTGCATAACCAGATGCAACCAGGTTGTCCTTCCTGGACTCATGAATAAGCCTGCAACTTCCGGCAATTGGTTCAGTAGTGCTCTGCATTCATTTCCTGCCCTGTCCTACATTTGTACACACACACGACTAACGCTCGCCTTAATGATAAATGACAATTTTTCCGGGAGAGACCAGAAGGCGAGTCTCAGAACTTGCAGCTCGCCGTGGTAAATGAAGACCGGCCGCCCACACGCTGACCCACTTTCCAAGCAGCATTGATAAAAAGGAAGGCGAGGCGCTTCAGCTGGAGGAAGGCATTGCAGCAAAAACGCCACATCTGAAGAGCCGCAAAGTTATTCGGCGTCAACTTTCTCCTGGGTTGGTGCTCCTTGCGTGAGATGACGTCGGATTTGTCAATTTTTAGTTTGAGTTTAGAGAAAAGGCAAAAAGACGTTTATAAAATTATGCATGGCTGGGAGAAGGCAGATAGAGCAAAGTTTCCCCTCTTCCTATAACACTAGAAACCATGGACATACAACAAAGCTGCATGTTTCAGGATTATATTGTAAACAACCCTGTGAAGGGTAATAATAATAATAATAATAATAATAATAATAATATAGGACAGAGAAAAGGAAGTCCTTCATGCATTGCTTAATTAAACTGTTGAACTCTTTCCTACAGCAAGCAGTGATCGCCACCAACCTAGATGGCTGTAAAAGATAATTAGACAAATTCATGGAGGAGAGGGATTGCGATGGCTACCAGCCATGGTAGCTCTGCTTTGGCACCACAATTGGAGGCAGCAATGCTTCTGAATGCCAGTTTCCCACAGGCATCTGGCTGGCCCCTGTGAGAACAGGACGCTGGACTAGATGGGCCGCTGGCCTGATCCAGCAGGCTTTTCTCGCATTTTGACGAGACGATATTTCATGCATCAGTATAGAAGAACTCAGTTCTGTGACTGGGTGGGGCTCATCTGGGAGGCAGAGTTAAGGTGGTTTGGTATGTGTTGATTGCTGACATTATTTTAAAGACTACCTGTAATACTTCTTTTCACTGATGCACATGACTGCACTTACTACCAGTTAGTGTCTGGACTCAATCCAGAGTACGGGGTTTGACTAATAAAGCATTACAGGGATCAGAACCCCAGTACCTCAAGGACCATCTCCCTCCATATGAACTGACAGAGACCCTTCTCCTCGAGTCTCTTCTACATGAGGAATGGAGGGCGGCAACACAAGAACAGGGCCTTTTGAGTGGTGGCTCCCCACTTTTGGAATCCTCTCCCCAGAAGGCTGTTGTGAAGGAATGAGGCCCTCAGGATCAAAAGAAAAAGGTTTCTCCACCCCAGGTGTAGTCTATGCTGAGCTAGATGGACCACTTGCCTGACTCAGTATAAAGCATCTCCTTCTAGGACTAACAGCCATAGACTTTGCTCTTTGCTGAAATGTAAGCCATCCCCTTCTAAACCTTTCTAAGCCCATGATCCTTGATAGTCTTCTGTTGGCCTCCAGATTTCCTCTTGATGCTACCTTTGAAGCTTTGAGGGAAATGGAGAGCAGGAATGGAAGGCCACCCTGATTTTCTTCTATTTCTCTGCAAAGAAGGAAGCCTAACCATTTGAAAGCCATCGCTCAAGCTCCTATTGATGGAACTGAGTTGGCTTCTGACACCATCAAAGAGACTCCACTTTTCATTCCTTTCTAGCTACAAGGGCTTTCACAGCCCATATTTAGGCTGTTCTGTAGGATGATGGATAGATTGAGTAAGGGGCAGTGGGTTGATGGCAAGTCTTCAACACACACACACACACACACACACACACACACACACACGTCAATCCTCAACCATTGGACATCCCAAGAAGCTGAATGTTGGAAGATTCAGGAAAGGAAAAAGAAAGCCCTTCTTCCTGCAGTGCATAGTTAACCTGTTGCGCTCACTCCCATAGGAAGCAGAGGAGGAGAGGGCTATTGATGGCTACCAGTCATGATGGCTATGCTCAGGTTCCACAGCTAGAGGCAGAAGTGCTTCTGAATACCAGTTGCTGGAAGCCACAGAAAGGGAGAAAGCTCTTGTGCTTGAATCCTGCTTGCTGGTTTCCCACAGGCACCTGGTTGGCCCCTGTGATGTTCTTATGTTCTTAGCCTACACCCCTCTGCATTCCTCCGCTCCTCCCCTGATTTACAAGCGCAAGTACTGCCATTCCTGTTTAAATGGCATGTTCGTAGGAAAGGCCACTGTTTCGATTTATTAGGACACTTATATAATAATTAGACTCCAATTGATGGTGGCAAACACATTTATCGAGGCTTAACAACTGTAGCCTCTTAAGAGACGGACAAAAGCAGAGTAATTGACTGGAGTTTCACGTACCGTGACCATACCATTAAAATTCAGCTTGGAGGCGGAGGTAATTCAGGGGCTCAGTCTGTCGGAAACCATTTGGATGCAGAGGGTCAGAACTCAGAAACACATGAAACCTCATCGAGCAAGTTCCATAAGCCTTAAGAAACATTCTTTCCACTTTCCTGAGGATTCCTACAGAAGTTCCCCCTGATAAGGACCTTCGGGCGAATTTTTGGCACTGCCTGCAGACAAAAGGAACAGACCAGAGATGTGTTCAGCCTGCATTTCAAAGTGAAACAACCTAATTTGCTAGGAAGAGGCATAGCTCGGCAGTAGAGCACAGCTTAGCATGGAGGTGGTTCCAGGATCAATGCCAGGTGGTAGCCTCTCCAGCTATGGCTGCCTGAAATCCAGGAGTGCAACTGCCAGCCACTGTAGACAATGCTGAGCTCGTTGGACCACCTGTCTGATTTGAATCTGGCAGCTTCTTATATTCCTACATTCCAGATCTTTAAAATATGGAAAGGACCTTAGCTCAGCAGCAGACCACCTACTTTGCATGGAGAAGGTCACAGAATCTGAGAGTTGGAAGGGACCCTGAGGCCATGCCAACCCCCTGCACTGCAGGAATATGCAGTTGTCCCATGTGGGCATTGAACCTGCAACCTTGGCATTATCAGCAGCACGCTCTAACCAACTGAGCTATCCAGGCTATCCAGGTTCCTGGTTCAATTCCCAGTGGCATCTTCAAGTAGGGCTGGGGAGGGAGGGAACCCTGCTCAACAAAGGGAACTCACATTGGGTTTGAAGACAATTCCCCCATTGTTTTGGGAGACAGAGGCATCGTTTTCTTTTGACCAAAACACTCACGGCTCTGAGATACACCACCTTCTGGTGGAAAAGTTCAGCTTCACCACTTCTCGAGAACTTCCAGTAATGACTTACAGATGAAGCTGACTATTGTGAATTGGGCCACTGGTCTGCCTTGCCCAGTACTGTCTTCTCTAACAGAAATAACTGGAGATGGGAAAGGACAAAGTGGCAGAACACCTGCTTTGCAAGCAGAAGGTCCCAGGTTCAATCCCTGAGGGCATCTCCGGGTAGGTCTAGGAAAAGACTCCTGCCTTTAAAGCAGCCTTTCTCAACCTGTGGTCCCCAGATGTTGTTGAATTGCAACTCCCATCACCCCCAGCTAGCAAGGCCAGAGCTCAGAGATGATGGGATTTGTAGTCCAACATCATCTGGGGACCCACAGGTTGAGAACCGCTGCTTTAAAGTCATCCAGGCTGGTAGCCATCACTCCACCTTGTGGGACTGAGTTCCATAGCTTACCTACACACTGAAGCAGCACACACTTTTATCTCTTCTGAATATTCCCATATTCAGATTCATGTGATTACACCATTGGATTTCAGTATTGTGTATTTAGCTTTTTCCTTCCTACTTTCTTTATCCCATGCATGTACATCTCAGTCATGTTGCCCTGGTGACTTTTTTCCTAGACTGAAATACCCCAAATGTTGTCACCTTGTTCCAGCCCTCTTATCATTTTGGTTGCCCTTTTCTGAACTCCCCCCCCCCCCAGCAGCTCTACAATATTCTTGGTGAGGTGACCAGAAGTGAGTTTCTCTTCTCATGACCCCAACAGGTTGGATTTGACTTTCTACCTCTTCACTCATAAAACCATAGAACTGTAGAGTTGGAAGGAATCCCCAAAGGTCACCCTGTCCAACCCCCTGCAAGGCAATAATCACAACCAAAGATCCCTGACAGATGGCCAGCCAATCTCTGTTCAGAAACCTCTAATGGACTCACCACCTACCAAGTGAGTCCATTCCACTGTCAAACAGCTCCCACCCTCAGAAAGTTCTTCCTAAGGTTTAGTCAGAATCTCCTTTTTTGTCACTGGAATCCATTGGTTTGGGTCCTCTCCCCTGGAGCAGCAGAAAACAAGCTTGCTCCATCTTCCATGTGAAAGCCCTTGAGGTATCTGAAGATGGTTCTTCTATCACTTCTCAACCTTCTCTTCTCCAGGCTGAACATACCCGACTCCCTCAACTGCTTCACATCAGGCTTGGTTTCCAGACCATCGATCATCTTGGTCACCCTCCTATGCATACCTTCCAGCTTGCCAATATCTTTCCTAAAGGGTGGTGCCCACTCTTTGGGAACAGGCCCACTCTGGGTCAGTTTTGAGGGTCAGTTTAGTGCGGGGCTGTGCACCAGAGCTGGCCAAACTCTGGATCCTGAACTGAATTGGGTTGACCTGGGATTCAACCGGATCAGGTTGAGGCAGCCCTAGATCGCCTTGGGTCACATCAGGTCTCCAGCTGGGGCAATCCAGGGCTGGTCAGAGGGTGGTTGGCCTGGCAATGATTTGAACTCAAGTTAAATATTGTGCCAGCTCCTGAATCCATTTTGGGGCCCGGATTTGGGTCAAGCAAGCCCTGGCTCATCCTGAGTTGAATCGGGGCCAGTCCAAAGGGCTTGTTTGGGCCACAAATCAGATTGAGGATGCATGCATAGCCCTAGTATGATCACATGTATGCACAAGAGAAAAAGGTAAAGCAGACCCTCCAAGTGTCTCTATTTTGCAGGGAGAGTCCTGGATTTACAGAAGCTGTTGCAGTTCTGATTTGATCCCAGAATGCCCTGCTTTTCTTTAGGACGTCCCTATTTTCATCGGGAAAAAATGTTGACGGGTATGGAGCTATGCGACCCCTGAGCCAAGGAGATAACTATACAACCTTTAGAAGACATCTGAAGGCAGCCCTATATAGGGATTTTTTTTTATGTTTAATGTTTTATTATGTTGGAAGCTGCCCAGAGTGGCTGGGGCAACCCAGTCAGATGGGCAGGGTATAAATAATAAAATTATTATTATCATTATTATTATTGAATAGGACGTTCCTTTTTTCATGGGAGAAATATTGGAGGGCATGTTATAGCTCACTGCAAATGTATTTCTGCATCTTAAAGAAAGAGGGAGATGACTTCCCCGGAGGGCGGCATTAAGCAAGGAGTTGAGGTTACACAAAATAAGTTGAGGTGGCAGCATCTCTGGAATTAAGGGCAGGCTGAGCCTGTTTTGCAGCCGCCTGAGGGGTGTTTGACAGACAGGCTTCAAAGAGGAGATTTGTGAAATGGTGTCCTAAGCGCGAAGGCCGATGTCGGCAGAAGCCCCAGGGCTGCTTGCCTCACACAGAGCATGAAAGCTTTATCTCAGTGGTGATATGTTGGGGCCTGTTGGTTGTATGTAGCAGCTCAATCATTCAAGCCTCAGATGTTCAAGGGATGCATGACGATGACTCCACATTGTGGAAATCTTTGTAAATAATTGGCTGAGGTTTTCAAACCTCCTTTCCCCCGATCAGAACACACTGGGAAATAGTTTTTACTTTGTAAGTGAAATCTGTGGCTCTCTGAAATATTCTTTTCTTTGGTATCTACATTTTGCAAAGTTCCCTGTCTGCCTTTCTGTTCATTCAGACATCTTTTAAGATATCGTCACAGGTGTCTCCTGAGATGAAAGGAAAGGGTTTCATTTATGTTCAGATAGATTTGGGTGCCATTTTGAATCACATTTGTGGACTGAACCTTTCAAAATTGCACCGATTTTAACCACCGATTTCAAAAAAGCTCACTGGAGGCTTTCAAACCTCTGCCAGGGATTCTTTCACTGTGATTTCTGCACTTCAGGGGATAGGACGGTGACTCTTGGGGTCCCTTCCAACTCTGCAACTCTATGATTCAGAAAGGCAGTTCTTAAGATCACCCCACTTTTTCCCTTTAGAGAACTGGTTTTATGCAGTGGCTTTGAACTCACCTGGGTAGCTATAGATGAGCCAGTATTCTCTCCACTTCCATCACCCCACCTCAAATTGCCTTAAAGCAGACGATCACTGTTGTAGAAGGTTAAATAAACCTTGTTTTAGCATCCAGGTTTAAGCTGCAAAGGATGGCACACTGCTTAGGGTTGCCATATTTCAAAAAGTGAAAATCTCAGCTATTTTTTATAGGGGGGAAATCTACACTTCCAACATGGGTTACCATACATCTGGATTTTTTTGGGACATTTCAAGGATTTCTGCCCGGACACATGGCAATCCTAACTCTATTGAGTTAGGGAAGGAAAATATCTAAACAATATATCGTACCCTCCAACATTTCTCCGATGAAAATAGGGATGTCCCATTTCCTAATGATAATTTTGCTCTTTGTACCCCACACATCTTACTGGGTTGCCCCAGCCACTCTGGGCAGCTTCCAACATCTAAAGAAAAAACATGATAAAACTTTAAACATTAAATAAAAACCTTCCCTGCACAGGATTGCCTTCAGACAGCTCAGGGGTCAGATAACTCAATACCCTCCAACAATTCTCTGAGGGCAATAAGGACATCATAAGGAAAAGTGGGACATTCCGGGATCAAATCAGAAACTGGGACGGCTTCTCTAAATCAGGGATGTCCCTGGAAAATAGGGACACTTGAAGGGTCTGATATATCCTCTCCTAGTGTCTAAATCCATCCCCACCCCACAGGCCAGGGGCAACCACACGTAAGGCCCTGTTCTGAGTTCCTGGGAAGGAGGCTTCTGAGATCTTTGGAACTTGCAGGACAGTGATCTACTGGTTGTCTAAGGCATAAAGCATCCTCATCCCGAGCTGTATAGAGCCATATATGCTTATATACCTTATATAGCAATACCTTGATTGGCCTAGTAGTAGGGCTGGGCGATACAGTGGTACCTCGGGTTAAGAACTTAATTTGTTCTGGAGGTCCATTCTTAACCTGAAACTGTTCTTAACCTGAAGCACCACTTTAGCTAATGGGGCCTCCCGCTGCTGCCGCGCCACCGGAGCACGATTTCTGTTCTCATCCTGAAGCAAAGTTCTTAACCCGAGGTACTATTTCTGGGTTAGCGGAGTCTATAACCTGAAGCGTATGTAACCCGAGGTACCACTGTATCTGGTTTTTAACATTGCGATTAATCACCAGCTAAACATTGTGATATACTGATATATCACAATGTCTGAAATAAGGATGGAGCTATGTAGAGGCATTGGCTGGCTTCATGTCCGTCCCCCCCTCACATTGTGATTTTTGCACAACACACATACACACACACATCATGATTTGAAATATATCGCCAGCTCAAAAATTATGAAACCAATATCATGATATGGACTTGAAACCAGTTTTGGACGGTATAACAGACATCATGATTTGTGATATGTTGCCAGGTCAGAAACTATGAAACCGATATCACAGTATGGACAAGTTTTGGATGATATACTATTGATATATTGCCCAGCCCTGTTTGGTAGTAAATTGGCAGCCAGCGCAAATCTTGCAAGCAGGGTGTTATACGCTAGCAGGAGTTTGCCCCCATAAGCAACCTAACCACCTCATTCTGTACTGGATGCAGCCTCCAGACCATGGGTAGGCAAACTAAAGCCCGGTGGTCGGATCTGGCCCAATCGCCTTCTAAATCTGGCCCGCGGATGGTCTGGGAATCAGCATGTTTTTACATGAGTAGAATGTGTGCTTTTATTTAAAATGCATCTCTGGGTTATTTGTGGGGCATAGGAATTCGTTCATCCCCCCCCAAAAAAAATAGTCCGCCCCAAGTTCTGAGGGACAGTGGACCGGCCCCCTGCTGAAAAAGTTTGCTGACCAACCCCGAGGGTAGTCACACGAAGAGCTCCTCATGGTAGTCTAACCATTAGCTACCTGAATCCATTTCCAAGGTCAAGTGAGGTCAAAAAAGAGCAAAACTGAGGGCAAGTAAGGTCATTTCAGTGTAATGGCAGGCAAGCAATTCTGTAAGGAAATTACAAAACAAAGGTCAAAATGAAGAGCCACTGCTGAAAACACCCACAAACCATTGAGAGCATTTAGAACTTGCCCCGCTGCTAACCGTAACTATAACCCGTGTTTACATCTTTCCATCATTACTTCTACTCTGATACTTGACATTTCATTCCTGCTTCCCCCCCACCCCCCGCCCCACGTCGGGACATATTTTAACCCAATAAAAAACCATTATGGCTGCAATTATTTTTAAAACAGATTAAATATCTGTCACACTCTTTAG